TCCATTCAGCACATACTCAGATTTAACGTGAAGCAAAATAGTTTCATGCCTCTATTATTATGTAACTTCATGTTCTATGAAACATTTCTCATGATCCTTTTGATTCTCCCATAGTCTACTGGGCACATCATAAATGCTTAAATTTAGTAGAATGACTAAGTTAATTACTACTAACCAAGAAACCACTTTATTTCAACTCTAAATATTGGAAGTATTTCTAATACAGTTGTAAACATGCTATTAAATTATCTTTTTTTCAGTCAGGCATGGTGGTGCACACCTGTAATCTCCACTCAGGAAGCTGAGGAAGGAGGATTGCCATAAGTTCGAGGCCAGCCTGGGCTACACAGTAAGTTCAAATCCAGCCTAGACTGCATAACCAGATCCTGTCTCAAAAAAAAAATTAATTTTTTTCAAAATCAGTCTGGATGGTGAAGTTAACACGAAATGTGAATCAGAAAATAGACAACCTGAGTCCAAGACCTAATTTTGCCACTTACTATATTGTTAAGCGAGTAACCTGACTTTTCTGAGTCTTGGTTTCTTTACTTGTAAAATGGGGATGATATAAACTACCTCACAGAATTATCTTAAGATTCAAATAACCTAACACATAAGGTGATTTAGTTGTCTGGTAGGTTACAGAAAACTTTTCAAATCTTTTCAGAGTGCAGTCCAATCCCCAGAACATTCTTCTAGGCCTGGAAATAGAAAAATGTGGTGATGTGCAGGGTAGTGGGGGCCTTTAAGAAGTTGGCTCTAGTGGGAGGTAGGTAGGTCATCTAGGCACTCAGAAGGGATCAATGCTGGTCTCAGAGAAAGTTAGTTCCCATAAGGATGGGCTGTTAGTATAAGACAGTGAGCATGACCCCTGAATCTCTGCTTCCTGTCTCCCCATGTGATCACTTTCTCACTTTCCTATGAGGTGCTCCCTAGAGCTGGGCAAAAGCCAGTGCTGTGCTCTTGGACCTCCAGAACTATAACATAAATAAACCTCTTTTCTTTACAAATTACTCAGTCTTGGGTATCTTATTATAGCAGTGAAAAACAGACTAAGATACTGATTAAAAGTCTTACTGCTGGGCAGGGGATATAGCTCAGCAGCACAGTGCCTGGCTGGCAAGTGCAAGGTCCTGAGTTCAATTTCCAGTGCCAAAAAAAAAAAGAATCTTACTGTCACCCAGGTGTGCTGGCACACACCTGTAATCCCAGCACTTGGGAGTCTAAGGCAGAGAGATTGCTGCGAGTTTGAGGCCAGCCTAGAAAACAAAGTAAGTTCAAGGCCAGCCTGAACCGTATAGTGAGACCCGGTCTCAAAAAGACAAAAAAAAAAAAGTTTTACTGTCACGTGTTTCCTTTCTTAAAAAATAAAGAAAGAAAACTGGTTAAAGTTAACTGTAGCTATGCAGGTGGATAAAAGGAACCACTAAATTAGTGTTCTCTGTGTTGCTTATAATGGAGAAACAGCCCAAATGCCCAGTAAAAGAGGGACTGACAATATTAACTTGATATAATCTTACTATTAGGTGACAGATTTTTAAACAACCAAACCATGGACAAATTTCTAAGAAACACTAAGCAGCAAGTCCAAGACAGTACTCATTCTCTGATGACGGCTATGAAAGCAGCTGTATTCTTAGCCAACATCCAATCAAACATACTGTCATACTAATCATCCAAAGGAAGACCAGGAAAAAGAACGGTTTTCCTTATATCAAGTTCAAAAGCTGCTAGAGTAGCCTAAATAAGAATCCTTTGAATTCCACAAGTTTTTATTCAGGTACAATATTTACTTGGTTAGAGGGAAACTTATGATAGGGTAACTTCAATTTATACAAGTAAATTTCATTGAGTAGAAACACAAGGCTTTAACTGGCTTCATGTCTGTTTTTTTGTTTTTTGGGGGGAGGGTTTTTTTTTTTGGTACCGGGAATCAAACTCGGGACCTTGCACTTGCCAAGCAGCACTGTGCTGCTGAGCTATATCCCCCACCCTGGCTTCACTTTTACTTTTTTTTTTTGGTCTTTTTGAGATAGAGTCTTGCCATGCAGTTCAAGCTGGCCTTGAACTCCAGTGATCCTCCTGCCTCAGCCTCCCAAGTGCTGGGATTACAGGCGTGTGCCCCACAAGCCCAGGTACTTTACTTGTTTTATACTTCCTTATTTATACACACTCCACCCCATTATGTTTTTTTGTTTTTTGTGATACTAGGGGTGAACCCAGAGCCTACACAATGAGGTACATCCGCAGCCCTATTTATTTGTTTAAAATTTGAGATAGGGTCTCACTAAATTGCTAAATTTCCTGAGCTGGGCTCAAACTTGTAATCCTCTTGCCTCAACCTGTCAGAGGGCTAGGATCCAGGCAGGTACTTGGCAGGGCTCCACCATACTTTGAGATTCAAGATCTCACTGCAGGAGCAATAAAGTTTAATGCCAATGATTATACATTATTTTTTTGGTACCAGTAATTGAACTCATGACCTCATGCTTGCCAGGCAGGCTCTGTGCCACTGAGCTATATCCCCAGACCCTATACATTTTATTTTGTTTACCTTCATGTCTATTCTACTTTCAGAGTGGAAAAAACAAAGACATGTTACATTGTGGGGTGAGGGCACCCTTTTGTACTTTCACTGCTAGACAGTTTAGCAAGTCAGCGATTTTTACAATCAATTAACTTTTGTTAAAATCTTTTTAGCAAAAGTTTATTAAGTCATCTATATATTCAAGTCTAGTTAATCTTACATGCCCAGCTCAATCTTCAGACATCTTCAACAAATTCTACCTCAAGATGTGCAGATACCCTGAACAGTTGCTTCCTATCTATCTTACTTTTTAGAGGTTATTATAATACAGTCCACGGGTGGGCTGTGAGGGGAGGAAATGGTACCTAAAATTTCATGTAGATATGTATATTTGCATTTTCTGATGTAAATCCACGCTTGCCAGCATTTTCAAAGAATTTCATGACCTCAAAGTAGGTCAATCTAAAAGTGATAATTATGTTCCAGTTGATAATTCATCACTAAGTAAAATAAGTATTTCTCCCACAGAAATGAAGATTCACAAGCTTTAAGACTGTCCCAGCTCTTGCTGAATCCCTGGACTAAAAACAGGAGTCTGAACTTAAAAGAGGTAATATAACTCATTCTGTGTTAACAGAAAAGATAAGCACCTCCTTACCAACATCCATCGGCAGCGACGTGCACTACCAAGTGATATGAAGTTTTCTTTTTCAATACTCATTGACGCTGTTCGTTTTTTTTTTTTTTGCGATAATTAAAATTTGTACAAATGTTTCATACCAGCCAGTGTAATTATCCCCTTATCAAAATCCTAACTTCCAGTACTTCAAAATAAAACTCTTCAATGTCAATGGAAACAGCATTACTCATTTAAAAGGGAAAAAGTAGTCCTTTTCCTAGTTTCTGTAAAATCTAAGAAGCATTTGTCATTAGCTATCAAAAACGCTGGCAGGAGCGAATAAGGCATAATGTTCCAAAACCAAAATCAACATGATTTTTACAGGTAAGTGATAAAATCTCTGCTTCCCATAGAAAGAAAAAGGTAAAATTTGCAGTTCGTATTTAAGATTCTGAAAAATAACACTCCGAGGCTAAAAGTCAAAGTTAAACAAAAGTCGAGAATGACTATTCATATTCCAAATCAAGGCAAAAATGTATTCAAGGTTGTTCACGTTCGGCTTCTTCACTATTTCCTGCTTTAGGTATCTATTTTCTCCACAGAAACCTGATCCCAAAAAATCCCCTTTAAAGTGATTTCAAAACTAACTTCCAATGGTCTGCTATGTAGACTGAATTTTTCATTCTAGGAGAAGACTAATCCCATTCATAAACTAGATCTCACCCTACGAGGGGAATGTGTTTCTTTCCAGAACCTTAAAAAAAAAAAAAACGAGTAAAATGGATGAAAGAACCCTGCTGCCACGTCTGCCCCCCGCCCCCACTCACGTAGCGGCCACTCCATCCCTCCCGAGTGCATTCCTAGGCTACGTCCAAGAGCCACAGCTCTCCGAGAAACAGTTAAGTCGAAATTGGCAGCCTCTGGCCTTTCAGATCTGCTCCTAAAAGGGGACCCAGCTGCTTTTTCCTCCCTTTCTTAAGACAGTGCAAAGTTCCAAGAGTCTTCGCCACTCTGTGCAGAACACAGAAGCAGCGAGCGGCCAAACCTGAATCTGTATTCCACAGGCTGGATGATTTAAGAGAAACGATATCGCACTCATCGCACCAGCCATCCTTCCTCCCCTTTGAAGCATTACGGTGGGGGGACGGTGGTGTAATCCAACTCAAAATTCGTTCAGCCGTGGAATGTCTGACCGGACTTTTAACCCCTGCGAATTCGAGGCGGGGGAGCTTCTGCGCCTTTAAAGAGTCCGGGGCACGAAGAGGGAAGGAAGAAGCCGAGCTTCCCCCGCCGGGTGATGGGTGATGTGACAGCAACTTCCCCAGCCCCGGCGGCCGGGAACTCCGCGCCCCAGGCTACGTTTAGCCGCAGAGGCAGCACCAGCCGCGCAACAGATGAGTTCAGCCCAACTCCCGAGCCGGTCGTCCAGCTCCCCGACCCACGACTTTCCCCTCGAGCGGGCGCCGCGGAGCTCCAGCTCCAGCTGCAGCTCCAGCTCCCAGCGTTCCGATCTGCTCTCGCGGCCACATGCTCACCATCTGCGGCGGCCGAAACCCACGCCCCGCCCCCGCGTCCCTCGCAGCTCCTCAGGGAGGACCAGGTACTCGGACCCACAGGGCGATCCCCGCGGGAAGGAACATTCAAGAAAGTCCTGGTCCGGGGCGGGGACAGAGGCTGCCGCAGCCCTGGCCGCGGAGGCGGGAAGCGCGGCGCGGAGAAGCGCGGCCAGGCCTCCGGGGAGAAGGACGCAAGGCTGCCGCGAGGAAGCGCAGCGCCCGGCCCCAGCCATTCCAGCGCGAGGAGGAGACACCGCGCCGCCGCGGCCGCCGCTGCAAGACGGCAAGCGCATCTCACCTGGAAAGGGAAACAGGAGGGTGGCTCGCTCTGGTCTTCCCGGCGCCTTCTCCCAGGCCTGTTACCCACTCCCGGCCCTCAGCCCGCTGGCGGCGCAACTGGGCAGCAGAGGGAGCCCGTTAGCCCTTTTATAACCTCTAGGCCTCAGCTGCAGCGCCGCCGCCGAGGAGGCGGCGACTGCAGCTCTAGCTACGTGAGCTCTATCACACCCGTGCCCCCCAGACTGCGCAGGCGCCCAGTCCCGCCTCCCGCTCACACCCACACGCGGTCGGCCCCCGGCCCCCCCCTGGAGTCCGAGCCCCAGAGGAGCGGCTGGGGCCGGGATGGAACGCGCCTGCGCAGTGCTCTCGCCTCGCGCCACCGTTGCCGTGGTTACCACGGGGTTTCCTGCTCCCGTTCTAAGTAGCGCCTGAATTTCAGGATTGGACTTCAAGTCGAAGCCAGGAAGCCACCAGCAGAGACATCTTGAAAGTGAGAAGAGGAACCTGGGAGCATAGCAAATAGAGCAGAAAGGAACCTAAAGTGGAAAATAATACAGTGCATCCAGTCTTGGTATCTCAGCTGTTTTGGCCCTAAAGGCATTTACTTTGCTAACCTCCCCCTCACATTTCCACATCATTTTGTAGGAATCTCTCTCTGTCTCCCTCCTTTACACTTTATCAGCAGATAGCAGACAGAGTTCCAGACTCAGATTATCTGGATTTAAATCCTGACTGTAGGGTGGGGGATGTTGCTCATTGGCACAAGTGCTTGCCTGACAAGCGCAAGGTTCTGAGTTCTATCTCCTGTACAAAAAAAAAAAATCCTGACTGTATTTTGGGCTCTTTGTATCTCAGTTTCCTCATCTGCGAGATAGGAATAACAGTATTATCTGTCTCCTAGGATTATTGTTGGGCTGAAATGAGATAATAGATTAAAGCTCTTAGCATGCACCTAGCATATATTAAGGACTTGGTAAATATTAGAATCTGTTGTTGTTCTAATATTAAGTACTCCAGGGGCTCAGTGGTAGAGTGGTAATCCCCAGAACCACAAAGGCACACAAAAATTAAGCACTGTATATACGGCATCAAGTACTGTGTTTGCTCTCAGTCATATTTCTACAAGAAGAAAGTTTTACTATCAGGAGGCAGTGAAAACAGGGTCTGGTGGCACACACCTGTAATCTCAGCACTGGGGAAGCTGAGGCAGGAGGATCACGGTGGGGTTCAAGGCGAGCCTGGACTGCATAGTGAAACCGTGCCTCAAAAAGAAAAAGAAAAAAAAAAGAAAGGCAATGAAGGTGATGGATTTTCTCTTCTCAGTACAAGGAAAGAATAACCTCCCTAAAATTTGTTATTCATTAATTGTTCTTTCAAAAGTTTTCATTATGTGCCGGAAAGTATAGCAATGATTAACAGTTGATGCTTATGGAGGAGGGTTGATTATACAGATACAGAAGCAGAGAAATGGTACTCAGCTTTAGGCAACCAGAAAGTAGATGCAGTGATATCTGTATCAGTGGTTCTCAAAGTGTGGCCACAGGGCCAGCAAGGTTAAAGTTACTTCATGTTAAGACTATTTGCCTTTCACTGTAATGGAAATACAGTGGGGTTTTCCAGATCTGCACTATTACAACAGACTCACTTCTGAGCATATATGAGCAGAACATATGTAAGAATCTTCTTTTAGGTCAGATGTTAGAGATTTGCAGAAATGTAAATAATACCACTGTTCTAACTAAATTCTTTCTTTGGAAAATATATTTTCATTTAAAAGTGTTATTTATGACTGGGCGAGGTGGTGCATACCTGTAATCCCAGCTCTTGCGGGGGCTGAGGCAGGAGATTCCCTGCTAAGTTCCTGGACCACACAGTGAGTCCAAAGCTAACCTGAACTACATAGCAAGACCCTGTCTCAAAAAAAATATTGTTAATGTTAACATGTAACGTAATTATTTTAAAGTGAATAAGCAAATATTTACATGTTTGTTTTAACTCTGAATACAGGAAATGTTGATAGATATGATCCACATAAAAGCTTCTTGTAGTCCTCAACACTTTTTTTAGGAGTTTGAAGTGATCAAGAATCAAATTAGGGCTTCAAACTCAAAGGCAGATTCATTATGAAGCCAATGAAGCTTCAGCTTCAGGGCACTTCATTTGAGCTGCCCTTTTCAGAGTCCCTGGAAGGTCACATGGTCATTTTTTTGGTTTTGTTTTTTTGTTTTTTTGTTTTTTTCTGGTACCGGGAATCGAACTCACGATGTCGTGCTTGCCAGGCAGGCACTGTGCTGCTGAGCTAAATCCCCAGCCCCACATGGTCATTTTTTTGTAAAAATCTTAAAAGATATTTTAATTGCACTCTTTTTTTTTTTTTTTTTTTTTTTTAAGATAGGCTCTCGTGATCTAGCCCAGGCTGGCCTTGAATTGATGGCAATCCTCCTGCCTCACCCTCCCGAATGCTGGGATTACAGGCGTGTACTACCACACCTGGCTCCCCAAACTCTAAAAGTTAAAATAAACACTAAAGGAAAAAAGCTAATTTTTAATCTTTTCTATAGAAAATTGTTACCAAATGGTTATCATATAAAGAGACAATATGAGATGCAAGCAAATGTATAGAAAGAAAAGGAATACAGAAATGTGTCAGGCAGTTAATCAGTAACATTATTATGTCTCTCTTCTGAATTTTATGATGTGATTGTGTTAGTCCATTTAGAGTTGCTATAATAAAATACCTTAGGCTAGGTGCATTATAAGGAAAAAAAATGTATCCCTTCCAAGGGTGGTATGCCTAGAACCCTAATCACCTACCAGGCCCCACCTGTTGAAGGTTTCACCACCTCTCGGTACTGTAGCAATGGGTTCCAAATCTCTAGCACATGAGCCTTTGCATGACAAAACATCCAACAGCAGCAGTGGCATTTGGGATTTTTTAAATATGTGATATGTAGTTGCCCCCAAAAGACACTTCATATAACCATTTAACCTGATCATCTGTTTAGTGAGAATCAAATTGATGCCTGGAGGACAAGAAAAAAAAATAACATAGTCCCTCTGAATGGTCAGACAGCAGAGCAGCCTGCTGTAAATCTCCACTAAATCTCTTCCTCTTGCATCTGAAATGCTCATCAATATTTCTTAGATAAATGTTTAAAGTTATATATGTTTTTAGGGAAAGATAATCCTATAAGTACAAGCAGAAGTGATTCAACACTCAATCAATAGCTTAATGGCAAGCCAAGTTAGGAAATAGTTTTAAAAAACAAACAAAAAAACCAGCCAATCGGCGACAACTTGCCACTTTTTAAATGTCAGCCGAACACATAGAAACAGTTGCACTCTAGGGAACTCATCTAGATTGGTGGAGTGGAAGTTAGCCAGTCATCAGCGGTCTGTTCACCAGAATAATCGTGCTTTTAAGGATGATGTCCACCCTGCCTCCCAAGCGCTGGGGTATTACAGGCATCTGCCACGACGCCCAGAAATGTATAGTGCCCCCATCTAGTTAGACAATCCTCCTTGCTCAGAATAGTATATGAATACAGTGAGTATGTAGCCTGAGAAGCAGACCACTTCTACACAGAGACAGTAAGTCAGCTTTTTATTTCACATTTTAAATGACAGTTTTTTCTTTTAACAGTGAGCATCTCTGTGACCAATGGAGAAGACAAAAATACAAAACATGTACCCTGTTACTGAAGCTGGTTTTAAACAACTTGCATGCACATATATGAAATAATTAGAAATCATTTGAGATGGTAAAGTATTTAATTGTGTTGTGAGGATTATGAAATATTATGTACTTTAGAGTTAAGAGAATGAATAGTTAGTTAAATTTGATGAAATGGGTAATAAGGAATAGCTCTTTTGGTAGGGGACAAAAATGATGAAAAGAACATTTTTCAAATATGTTACATAAATTACAAGAGAAAGTGGAGTCTACTTAATCTAATATTCATAGCCAGGTGTGGTGGCACACGCCTGTAATCCCAGCACTAGGGAGGCTGAGGCAGGAGGATCATTGAGAGTTTGAGGCCAGCCTGGGCTAGAAAGTGAGCTCAAGGCCAGCCTGAACTGCACAGGGAGGCCCTGTCTCAAAAAGACAAAAAAAGATCTAATATTCATTGAATATTTATGGAAAGTTTACAGTACCTACTGTTCTTGAGACTGCCTACTGGACTTAGAAGATAAAACTTTTTGTTTGTTTGTTTTTGTTTTTCTCTGGTACCAGAAACTGAACTCACGACCTTGCGCTTGCCAGGCAGGCGTTTTGCCGCTGAGCTAAATCCCCAGTCCCAAGAAGATAAAACTTTAATTAGACAATCTCTACTTTTAAGTCTACAGCCAGGTATGATGGTACATGCCTGGAATCCCAGCACTCAGGAGGCTAAAGCAAAAGGAGTACCTCAAATTCAAGGCCAGCCTGGGCTATGTAGTGAGTTCAAGACCAGCCTGAACTACATAGCAAGACCTTGTCTCAAAAAACAAGTTTATAATCCTACTGGATAGAGCTAAAACTTGCACTTGTGGTAATAGGAATTAATTCATCCAGTAAATATTTGTCTGCCTGGATGAGTTAGACTGTGTAAAGTACTGGATGTACGACTCAAACCATCATAGAACTTAGAATCCTAAGGAAATGGACAACATACAGAATTAGCAAAGACACACACACACACACACACACACACGATGATCAAATATGCAGTGATCTTTTAATTTAAAAATTTATTGCAGTAAAAGAAATTGTCATTAATTCTCCTCAAATTACTTCCTCCTTATACTCTTCCTCCCTTCAAACACACTGATCTCATTATTCTTGCCGCTGTCTGAAACAGTTCTGGAAGTCTTCTTTTGTGTCTCTGTGAGGTGTGATCACAAATGCAGTGGATGCTGCTGCTGCTGAGTGCCATCCGACAGAAAGGCAGGCTTGTAAAAACACAACAGTGTGTCCTCACCAGCGTTATTCACTGGTTCTGGCACTGTGCTTCTGGCTGCACAGCCAAAGACACTCATGACAGAGGACTTCCAGAACTGCTTCAGAAAGTGGCAAGAGCAATGGGATACGTGTTTGCAGTAAGGGCTTGGGGGAGCATCTTGAGGGAGATTAATAGCAATGTCTCTTTGTAGTAAATTTTAAAAATTTAAACATTCACTATAGTTTTGGACACATATTTTGGGTGTTTTTTTTTTTTGTTTTTGGAGTTTTTGAGACAGAGTCTCGCTCTGTAGTTCAAGCTGGCCTTGAACTCACTATGTAGCTCAGGCTGGCCTCAAACTCA